TGTTGTACCGATATAATTGATTACTTTTGATGTACCTATATATTTGCATATCTTGTCTGTTACGATCTATATGACGCTGACTGTACTTTCAATGAAGTACCATTTCAATTTTAGTTATTTTGTCAGTGGTCTTCTGAATTAAGTTAGGTTAAGAAGTTTCTCTTGCTGAAGTAGCCTCAAATCCAACAAGAGTTTGCCAAGTCTACAACTTTGCAAGTTGTCAAATGTATTGGTTTCAAGCTTGGCTTTTGTAATTTTTGTGTACATTACCTTTGTCACTAGGAAGCCCAAATTCCAATTTAAATAGTTTGCTGTTGAACGTTTTCATGTCAATCAATTCAGTTGAATCTTAAATGATATCATCATTATTAACATATTTAAAAAAAAATCTTATCAGTATTTTGAAAATGAAAGCCACAGACATATAACAATGATTTTATATTCATTTTCTATTTGGCATAACCATTCTTGGTAAAGTATTGATGATTTATTTCCTGAGGTTACAATATTTCTAAATATTGGATTTATTATTGTTGTCCTGTCTATTATCCTTATCGGAATGAATATAATTATGAACATACGACTACATAGCTTAGTTTTACTCTATTGGACTTTTAGCGGAATGTCTCCTTATTCGCGTTTCTTCCAATTCCTCCATTCGCGGCGAAAGATTTCCTTATTCGCGAATCTTATCAGTACATGCATGATAATAAGGATTCCATTCGGTATCCAATCCAGTAACCTTTAAAAACGCCGTCAAATGAACTAACAAAAAATTAAAATAGACGTTATTACAACTCTGCCTAATGTACAGTCAGCGTCATATAGATCGTCACAGACAAGATATGCAAATATATAGGTACACCGAAAGTAATCAATTATATCGGTACAACAAAAGTCCTCAAAATAATAGATACATCCACCCTGCTCAAATACATCGGTACATACACAGCGTCAAATATATGAGTACATGCAAGATGCTCATAAATATCGTAGCAGCCACAGCGTCATAAGTAACGAAGCAGTCAAGGTGCGCAAAAATATCGGTACATTTGACAAAATTGAACTCTATCTCTATATACTTGTGAAACAATTTGGAATAAACTACTTCTGTTACATTCATTTGACACTTTGTATTAACATTATAGGTTGTCCGGAAAGTTCGTTCCGATTTTCGATATGAAGCTTACAATAGACTGTAGCTGAAGTGGATTCATTTTCGGATTTCCTCCATTATCAAACGTCACAAAAATTTCTATATTGTAAATAATTTCATTTCATTGGTTGAGATAAAAACTAATGTTTAAAATTTTATCCAATAATAAAAGACGTTTTAGGTGTAGAGTCGTACCAATATAATTTAAAAACATTTCCAAAAATTTAAGAGAACAGGGTTTCAATTTTCCTTATAAAGCGGCACGAACTTACTGGGCAACCCAATATTTTTCTTTTCCTGCCATAACGCTTAAATATAAAAGTTTGTCACGCCGAATATGACAGATACGTATTAACTAATATCAAATTTTGCCTTGTCACAATATATATAATACTAGTTTGGCGCAGTATTCTAGTATGTTTGCCGTAATATGTAAGTTTACCAGTTCGAATCTCAGGCTACATTTTTTCATTTTATCAATCACGGGGTTATTTTTTCATAACCAGTAAAAATTTTTGTAATGTAAAATTTTGCTCGACAATTTTTTTTTATAATTTTCGCTGTCGGGTAGAAAGAAATTTAAATAAAGTTAACAACAATTAGGTCAGACCATCGCGGGTGAAGTGAGTGGGCGGAGCGTGGAT